CTTGAATATTATATTGGATGAATCAAAGTCAAATACACCCAAACCTCCTTGAAAGTTGTGACTGGTAGAAAGGCAAGAGCTGTTTCACAACGCATCAGCTGCATTTTTTCTGGATTCATTGTGCAGTCGTAGGTTTATTGCCTCAGTCGAGGCACCAAAAAAGGGGAGTAAATCATGCGATGACTATTCATTTGCAATGAATATTCTTCCAGGAGACTGTGTGAGGTTAACAATGGTATGCTATTCCACACAAACTCAAATAACTAATAAAGAGCAGGCAAAATAACGGAGAATAGTTTGTCGCATAAAAGTACAAATTCCCCAGTCCTATAAGAGCACCCAATTCTCTGAAACTGTATGATAAGCAGCACACCATGACACTCTCACTGATGGTGTGAAACACTGTAATTAAACACTGGCTAATCAGAACTTTAAAACAGAAGGAATTTACCCTTTGTTCTACGCTACAATAGGTAAAGTAGATGGCTAGCCAGTAGTCACCATGCTTCAGTCTATAACATAATGTACACTTACAGGGCTGGGATTCAGACCCTGCCTCAGGATAGTGTTTACCCCAGCTATGTGCTGTGGGCTGCCTGGGGTAGTCCCCAGACTCCCCCACAACCCTGAGCTAGATAAGCAGTCAGAAGTTGGATCAATTATTTTTATTAGTCTAGCAATGTTGTCACCAGAACATTTAGAAGTGCAAACTGTAAGGTTCTAGGGTCTGTCAAAGAACTTGCAAGATGTAAAAATGTAAGATGTGTTCAAAGTTCGGAGAAATGATTCAGATAAGCAAGAACAAAAACTGACTGGGTAGTTTTTCCTCTGACAAGTTTTTCAAGTCTTATTATTACATGTATTCCCAGGAATGCAGCGAAATACTTAAACTACAGTTGCAGGGTAGGGTATCGGGGGATGGGACAAATGCTAGTGTAATCCAAAACCAGACAATACAAGCAGTGCAATACAATACAAGACAGTGCAGGACAAACAGCAGTGAGAGGGTAACCCAAAGCTCCTTAGCCTCCCCAGGAAGAACAACCTCTGCTGAGCCTTCTTGAGGATGTAGCTGATGTTTAGAGACCATGATATGGAATCAGTGATCTGGACCCCCAGAACCTGAAGCTGCTGACTGTCCCGACAGGAGATCCAGCTATGAAAAATGGAGAGTGAAGGCCTCTGGTCATTCATAAAAATAGATATAGAAATAATTATCAGTCTTATTTTCTCAGTCTTTATTGCCTAGGATCTATATGGGGAATTCAAGCTAAGTGATAGACCCAATTAAACACTTCAAAGTATAATGAGTATTAGGGAATCTACACACATCCAGCTCAGACATTTGCTCTATGGGGGGGGGGGGGGGGTCATCTCTTGCTTATTGAATAAAGACCCCTACTAGGTTAAATTGTTCTGCATTTGCAGGCAAGGAGTCTTTTGCTGTGTGATTTGATGACCCATCATGGAGGCGTGCATGGGGTGAGAGGGGTTGTCCATGATACTGAGAAGCTTTTTCAGCATTCTCCTCTCAGACACCTCTGCCAGCTTCTCCAGTCTGACACCACAATGGTAGAGTCATCAGAGCATTTCTACAGGTGACATGACTGAGACCTGCATCTGAAATCAGACGTGTAGAGGGTGAATAGGAAGGGTGATAGGACAATTCCCTGCGGTGCTCCCGTGCTGCTCAGGATGCTATCAGAGCAGCAGCTCTTCAGTCGGACATGCTGTGGTCGATTGCTTAGTCCGTAATCCAAGCTACCAGTGGGGCATCCACCTGCATGTCTGTGAGCTTATTCCCCAGCAGTGACGGTCTGATTGTGTTAAAAGTACTGGAGAAGTAAAAAAACACGACCCTCACAGTGTTCCCAACAATGTCCAAATGAGAATAAGCCTGGTTCAGCAGGTAGATGATGGCATCCTCCACGCCGATATGGGGTTGGTAAGCAAACTGTAGGGGGTCCAGCCAAGGTTCCACCTGCAGACGCAGATGTTTCAGGAGAAGTCTCTCCAGTTCTTTCATTATGTGTGAAGTCAGAGCCACTGGCCTGTAGTCACTGGGGGTCTAAGGGTGGATCTTTTTAGGGACAGGAACCAGACAGGATGTCTTCCAGAGTGTTGGGACCTTCTGCAGTTTCAGACTCATGTTGAAGATCAGATGTAGAACTCCACACAGCTACACAGTTCCCTTCTGATGTCATCTGCTTCCACATGGGACATACCTTTGCTCAAACTGGATATTTATTATGATTCAGCAAATTCTTGGGTCCATGGGTCAGTATATGTACATTTAGGACCTGGAATGTGGATAAACTGGCATGTTGGCTTTAACATGTGTAACCGGATTTTCATGGTGCGATAAATTTTTGTTTCTACATTTGTTCTCTAAAGAATCTTAGTAGTTAAAGCTTTTATTTGTATTTCTCAATAAAATTTTCAATTAAAGTTGAAATTAGTCCATTAAAGCAACACAGATATTTCAAAATTGTGTTTACAAGTTTGACAAGGAATTGATTTACAAATGTTCTGACCATCAATAAAAATCATGGATTGTCAAAACACTTCAGGTTCCAGTCTGATTTTGTGTACGGTATTGTCATTGACACTGAGCACTGAGTCCTTCTGCACTGGAAGCTTAAGGCAATCTTTTGACCTTTTTATGACTTTTCAGTGTTAAATTACAGATTGTCATGCTATGCAATAACTTGTGTGGTTATGCATGACTCAGAAATTAGTCATCAGCCATGTGTTTTCCATGTGTTACACAAGAATGACGTCTTGGGCGTGCCAAGGGCGGACTGACTTAGTTGAGATTTAGACTGACATCAGCATGGACACTCAGATGCTGCTGATTTAACAAAATGTTCAATTGTTCCAGAGGTGGCACAGGGGCCAATGTTTTCTGGGTATCTAGGATAACCTGTTCATTAATCTATCCCTGGGGTAAAATAGGCATATAATACTATAATAAAATATAATTCTATAATTTACCTTACAAAAAGTTGTCATACTTTTACGGTACTATGTCAGTATGGTTGTGCTGGATTGTACTTTCAGTGTTTTTCTATTTTGTTCCTTCAGTTTTTGCTATTGAAACATTTATATTGATACATGGATACTTAGTTTCATGCATGTGGCTATTAAACTGTTAAAGTGTTTTCTTCGCTAAGGCAAAAGATACATTTCATGCATGGTACATTTAATTAATTATGATGTTGAATTTCAGTGCTGTATCATTACAATACTATGGTAAACATTACGTAAAATACTACTGAAAATAAGCTTATATTACCAGAACATAGCATATTTAAAAACATATTATTACATTGGTACTATATGAAAAGCTGTATTTTCATTTCAGATACACTACCAGTCAAAAGTTTTTGCACACACTGAGATTTTCTATATTTGCATGTTACTAACTTAACATTTACTCAAAAATCATTCAATATTCGTTGCTAACAAATAAATGTACACAATGTTCACCATTTGAGTGCCTTTATCAGCATGAAAATGTCATATCTTTGATTCACCAATGTAACCTCTAGCTCTTATAACAGCAAAGAAAATTTGAGGCATTCTGTCTAAACGGGACATTAAATACTGCTTTGTTTCAGGGGATGAAACAGTTAACTAGTGCGGTTAAAGGACGGCCTAGAATTTAACAATGACGTCACCTCACAACCAGTTAATAGGATGTCAGACATGCGCTGTTGCAAGCTCTTTCCATGGCATAAAGGAAACTTGTTTTATTTGAATTATTTTTTCATTCATAGTTGTTCACTCAACTTTCCAATGTATAGGAAAAACAAAAAAATCAAATAAATAAGTAGTTAAAAACCTGTGGTGTGCAAAAAAAATTGACTATGTAGTATACCATGGTATATAGGTGGCCAAATTACAATGGTTTTATCATAATGTTTTCTACTATGCTATTACTTGATGATAATACCATAGTACTTTTTGTAAGGGTTAACTGTGTACAGAAGGTATGGTAAGATTAACCAATTCGCATTGGTGCACCACAGGGGCGTTTCTAGCTACTGCAACGATCAGGGGCTAAGCCAAGTTTACCCGGATCTTGACTTTTTTTTCTGAAGGAAGATTGGCATCTGGGCTAAAACTCAGGGCTAGGCTTAAAATATTCGAGGCTATAGCACCAGTGATTGGTCCTAACGACGTACGTCCCTGATGCACCAGCAAGTTCACGATGCGTCTGCCCCAATTAAAACAGTTTGCACCGGATACAATTCGGAATGAGCTTGCATTGTTATGATGCATTGTTTCTAACTTCTTCGCATCAGTAAAATCAGTGTGCGAAATACGGGGTGGTCCGACACTGCCGATTAACCCATGAGACCCCCTGAAAGCATCAAAAGCAAAATTTCAAGGGCGTCTCAAGATTGGTATTGCGCAACAATAGGGATATGGGGACCCCGCCGAATATTGACGGGTATTTCGCACACTGAGTAAAATCCTATTTGTTAATATATAATTATTAACAGACCAATAATTTTACATTTAGATTGATTCCCCTTTCCAAACTTTCTGTATTTGTAATCAACTCGTCGAATCGATTCATATAGTATCGCATTAGTAGTTGCTTCATGTGCATCTTTAATGTATAGAATCATTGGCAATACATCGACATGTGTATTGCTTCGGCTTCAGTGATGGAGATGCACATCCATAATTTACAATTTTTTATGTATTGCCGTGACTGACAACAGTCATTATTAAAGTGCTGAAAGAAAATGTCTATCTCGTTTGGCAGTGAAACCCTACAGCTGACGTCAAGAATGCGATAGCCGCAAATCGTACGCGTTTGTTAGCTTTGGATGTTTCCAACTGATAGGAACAACTACAACGACAAAAAGAAACTATAACGCAATTCGCGCTTCTCTTGCATCGGGAGGTGCCGCTTCTCAGCTGACACCCTGACGAAATCTGATTGGCTCCTACCCCTGAACTCCAACGGCAGCCGGCGAGCCTCAGCCAATAGCAGCACAGCTCCGGTCGTTGTTGCACTTCCTGAGGCGACGAGCAGCGCTACGCCAAGATGTCACTGTCCCTGGCAGGGGTGTGCAGAGGTTCGGCTCTCGTGTTATTGCACGGAATTCGACCTGCCGGGGTTAAGAATGGCATATGTACCCCAGTTTTGGTTTTCTCGAGATTAAGGTACATGTCGCCTTGGTCTAAGACCTAATATTTTGCGCTGCTAACCTAGTCATGGAGAGTGTCTGCTGGTATGCTAGTTAGTTTTGTTTTCACGGACTAGATCGTGTTAGCGTTAAAACCATTCAAACCTAAAAATATTATATTGTGGAGCTGTCAAAACAGAGCGACACTAACATCCGAAGCGGTTTTTTCCCCTGTAAATACACTGTGAAACGGTTTTCGCTGTCTAGCATGTTAGCTGGATTTGGCCAATTCTGGTTTGCAAAGCCAGAGGGTGACATTGGCTGGGGTCTTTTTCAAGGCATAAATGTAAAGACTGGATCGTCAGATCTATGCAGCAGGTCATTCTGAGTAAAAAAATAATGTCGAAGATCAGTTTAACGATTTCATTTTCGGGAACGTCAAAAATATACTATTCGGTAGAGGTCCTTAAATTGTTTTACCTTGGTTCAGTTTATACATTTTCTTCATACCAATAATCGCTTCCCAACAGCTATGAAAAATTATCGTGCAACATAATAGCACAATACAGGAGACAGGAGGGTTAGGTTTAGGCAGGAGGCTACACTGTATTAACATGATGCACCAAGACTGGGATCATGGGGCACTTGAGAGGCTTAAAAGATATTGGTAATATGATTTGGCGATATTCCAGGTTAGCGCTCAAAGTTAAAGGAAAACATGGTGTTCCACGTGCTATGTAGGTGCACCAAGGTCTGGGGCTATCATGGTTTCAGTATCACGGGTGAAGGTTGGGGGCAGCTGGTTAAGGCCCTCATGCCCGTCGTCTGAAGGGTTCTGCTGAATAGTCATTGGGGCCTTTGAACGCGGTCCTTAACTCTCCGAAAAATGCTCCGAATAAATGGCTGACCCTGTATATGTGTAGGTCTATGACAGAAATATGGATTATGCGAAACTGAAGAATTCCTGTGTACCCGGACTCGCACTTGTACAAATGACAAATCATTTAGTTTAATGTAGGATTATACTGCCACAGTTGTACATTTTTACATTTTGTTGCTCTGTTTCTTATCTTGGTATTTTTGCATTTCCTGTCCTTCCATCCCACAATGCTTATCACCTCTATCTTTCATCTGCAGTCTTTGCCCTGCTAGATCAGTGGTCACCATTGCACTGATCATGTGCTGCCTGTAGCTTGCAAAACACTTCTTAGAAATCAGCTTGAATATGTTATATCCACTTTCAGTTTTTGTGTTTTTGAGCCCCAAACTGTCTTGGCCTGAGTGGATGTGAAAGACGACACCTCCCCCCCCCATCCCCATGAAAAACTTTTAAGACCTCCATCCCCCTCCCACCCTCATTGGTTGACATAAACTTGTGTCAAACACGTAGCTGCGTAGATATATATATATACAGTATATATATAATTTTTTTGGTAGAAGTAGCTCTCTGTAAATACAGTTGGCAACCAGTGTACTACACCCTTGCCCTTATACTGTATCACCTGTATTTTTTTTTGCCTTCTCCTCCTGTTTCTAATGTCATTGTCTCATCCTTTAATGGTTTCCCTCTCACAGCCTGACCCTGTGTAACCATTACTCGTCCTCCAAAGCCAGGCTAGGGCTGAGCCGACACGTGGCGTCCAGGCTACGGTGGGCGAATGAGAAGTATGAGAAATTTCTTCAGCGTCGTTTCCCCCGCTTTTATGTTCTGTATCACACTTTTATGACAGGTGAGTGACTTGTTAAGGTTGCCAAACCCGTTAAAAAATCTTTTGGTTATTGTTGTGCCATTTCTTCGGCTTTTAAATTTATAGTTGTGACCGCACAGCGTGCTGCTTTTCATCAAATCAAATATGAATAATTTGACTAAAGTGGCCTCGATATCTGTGATAAGTCAGTTGTGAGGGAATTGCAATAAAACGAAACCTTTTATAAACTTTAGGATTTCGGCTTCTTTTCCAAAACGCCAAGGAGGTCAGAATAATAAAGACCAAGATGATCAGCAACAATGTAAAATTCCAGAATCTTTCCTACCGTGAGATGGAGACACTGAGACAGGTGAGTTTGTTTAATTTTTTTAACATTTTTAGTATTTTAGAAAAGATGCTGCTCTTTATAGACTCCTTTTCACATTAACTTAGAAGTTCTATAGATCTTACAGAATCCCTGATTTGATAAATATGAAACAATGTTTTTCATGTCTGTATTGTCTTTTTAATAGATTTTTTTTTTAATTGTGTCTATGGTAGGTTTGTGAGTTTAATGTATTCCGAAATAGACATTAAAGTTTTTGTAGATTATTCTCCAGCATTTTATAGATTTAATTTTCTGTGAAGTAATGCAACATGGTACCTTTTGTAAATTTGGTGTTTTCAACTACAGTTGTGCATTTAGTGTCAGACAAGGCACAAAGTAGGGCTGCATGATCTTGGAATATTTTTTTTAAATAAGATAGACATTCAGGCACCAATGTTATGCTCGGTGGAAATAAAATTCCAATTCTGCTACTAATGTTCTTTACTGAGCTGTTCTACGCCATTGATATTTTTCTACAGAATTGCATATCATATATCATGTGGCACAGTGGTGCAGTGGTTACCTCTGGGACTAGGGTTTGAATCTCTGCCCCAGCTCTGTGTGTGTGGGGTTTGCATGTTCTCTCCATGTTGTTGTGGGGTTGCCTCCGCCCCCCTCCCCTCCCCGGTCCCCACAAACATGGTCAATTGGAGTTGCCAAATTGTCCATAGATGTGAATGTGCCCTGGATTATTCCCTGCCTTGTACCCATAGCCTCCGGGATAGGCTCTGGACCACAGCAGCCTCGGATAGGACAAGTGGGTATGGAAAGTGGATGGATGTCATGACTCATCACTCCCTGATCTTGTCTGTTGCTTGTTGAATGTCCTGTTTAGACTAGTACTTATACTTTGATTGTCTCCCTCTCTCTACCTCAGTTTCGCCGAGACATGATAAAAGCCATCCCCCTGGTGCTGATCTCTGTCCCTCCTTTTGCCAACTACTTGGTCTTTGTTCTCATGTGAGTCATACAGTGATTTTTCTCCAGCACACAATCTGAATGCATCTATATGTAGGTCAGCATTTCCCGTCTTAGGACCTTCCAGAAGTAAATGTGGCATAACAATCAGAATAACAGCCTTGTATTCTATAGTGTTGTAATGTTTAGTCATCTCTTGATTAACACCCCTCTAGGTACACACGGGTCAGGTGATAGCCCTCAATTAAGTGCAGGTCTTTTACTTGGAAGGAATGGTTTATTTAAGCTTCACATTGCACCTGGAATTTATGTACAGAAGTGGTCCTTCAATTTTGTATTTTCGGGGGAGAAAAATCTAGCAGTTCCACATTAACTTCCCCTGTCTCACTAAAATAATTGTTGTGTCAGGGCAGCTGTCTTTTGTCGGAAAAAGATACATTTTACAGTTCACCTCAGATGACAGTGTGTGTTTTTAAAAACAGTCTAATTGCAGCTTCAGCTGATCAGGCCCAACTTGATGATTGACTGGTGTTTACCTACATTATCTAGATAAACAAGTGGAGATATGCAGTAATTTATAAATTTTCTAAAGTGGCATATGTACAAAATATGATGTTGCCCTTTATTTGAATGCATCTACTGATCACCTATCTACAGGGCCCCTTAGGTGTCACAGTAGAAAATATTAAAATAGAAATATTAAAATACAGTAGAAAATATCTCAGTAATTTGTGTGCTCGAGTCATTAATCTGTGCTCTCAAGTTAGTAATTCATGCACTCGAGTTACTAATCTGTCCTCTCAACTAAGTAATCCATGTACTCAAATTAGTAATCTGTACATTCAAGTTAGTAATCCATGCACTCAAGTTAGTAATTTGTGCACTCGATTTACTAATCTGTGCTCTCAAGTTAGTAATCCATGCACTCAAGATAGTAATTTGTGCACTCAAGTTACTAATCTGCCCTCTCAAATGAGTAATCCGTGCACTCAAGTTAGTAATCTGTGCATTCAAGTTAGTAATTCATGCACTTCAGTTACTAATCTGTCTTCTCAAGTTAGTAATCCATGCACTCAAGTTACTAATCTGTGCACTCAAGTTAGTAATTCCAGCATTCGAATTAATCACCTATCAGAGAGCACGATTTAGTAACTGGAGAGCACAAATTAGTAATTTAAGTGTACAAATTAGTATGAGAAAATATTTTTTTTCTACCATGACACCTAAGGGGTTCTGTACATATCCATAAAAAGCCTTTGTAAAAAACTTTCGACTTAGTTGAAAATAACGTAACAATACTTTTTCCTAATATGTTTGCCGGTGTACATATAAAGGACAATGTGACAAGTACATTCGCTCAATTCTTATATTTAAGATCTGTATTTATTGTGATTTATATAATTTGAGCATTTTGTTAAAGTATGTAGATCTTAATGCACCAATCACATGACAGAATATAAAGTACTCCATTGTCTTTGACTGTAGCACTAATATCCATGGTCAATTAAACAGCAGCTCACTTTTCTTAATATAAAAGTTACTTATATACCCTAATGATAATAATAATAATAACTTTCATCAGAATCCCCCCCTCCATTATACCCCTCCCTAATTTCTTCTCCTTCTTACCGGCAGGTATTTCTTCCCCCGGCAGCTCCTGATTCGTCACTTCTGGACGCCACGACAGCAGGTCGAATTCCAGAGGATCTACCACAGCCGTCGAGCCGAGAACCACGTGGCCATCCTGACGGGTCTAACCAAGACAGTGCCAGCTGTTGGGGACAGCCGCTTACAGAGCCGGCTTCTAGACCTTTGCAATAAGGTAGAAAACACAATCGGCTGCGCATGTCTGTCAAAATATAAATAACCATGCAAGTGGAAATGACATCTTTTGGTGGATAATAAATTCAGAGAGTAGTGTGTGGCTCAGTGGGTTGGGCCTTTGTATCTGTGATCAGATGGTTGCTGGTTTGAATCCCATGCTTGGCAGAGTAGCTGCAGTTCCACTGGGCCCTCGTGCAACGCCAAGTGCTCCAGGGCCACTGGATGGATGGTTGACCCTACATATCACTCTCACCCCTATGTGTTTGTATCTCTTTAAAAAGGAGAGCAAGATGAAAGACATTTTAATGTACCAGTTCTTGTATTTGTAGAAATCCTCTAAGAATTGTAAATGAAAAACAGATTTACATGTACACAATATCAGTTCCTGAATAAAAGCATTAATTGTATAGATAATACCCCCTTCAGTTCCCAGTCATCTGGGAAATATAAATGTTTAGGTATCTGGTGAATTTATCTGCTATTGTTATGGTTAGGAGGCCCGACTATTTGCCCATGGGAAGAGGGGAGCTCACTACTTCATATGTGGTCTATCCCCCCCCCCCCCTCCGTCTGCAGGTACAAAGTGGTGCACAACCTAGTGTGCCCGAAATCCAAGCAGTCAAAGGCCTCTTCTCCGGGCCGCCCCTGGGAATGAAGAGGCTGGACGCCGATCACATGGTCTGTTCACAGAATGCTCCGGCACAGCCTATCTCCTTGTCTGTCTATATCGTTCATTTGAAAAATGCAAATTGCCGTACTTGAGAAACGGGTCACGCTTTCCGTTGCTTCCTGGGTATTTGATTATTGCACGGTGCACGGTCCAGGCAATCAGATTTCGGATTCTTCCTGCCACTGTGTTTTACGAACAATTTTCATGATATTGCTGTCTCCGTAATTTGATGCATTTGTGGAAATCGAATGTTTGCAGTAAGATTATGAATCCTGCGAGTTTTGGAATCACTTTTCACATTGAGCTGCATCGCTGGCAAACTGTGTGCTTCATTGATACATTTTGTATATATGGCACCTTTGGGGTGACCTGCATCCTGTGTTCCTTTCGTTTAGAGACTTCTCTGCCCCTTGTTCTTTTTGACCCCCTGGCTTCCAGCCTTCGCCGTCAGCCACCGTCTGCGCGGCCAGGCTTTGGAGCTGCTGCAGCTCGACCGCGCTCTGCATCGGCTGGGTGTGCATGAACTTAGCGAGTCTGAGCTCCGGCAGGTCCGCCCACCCGCTGGGTCGTCCGTCAAGCACATGCTTTCACGTGTTGGCTTTGCGAAGCCTCATTCTGTGCATGTGATTACCCTGCAGGCCTGTTACTTGCGAGGGGTCGACTCAAGCCGTCTCAGCGTCGCTGAGTGCCAGGATTGGCTGATCCAGTGGCTCAAGCTGTCCAATCAGCTCAAAGGTAATTTCTCCCTCAGTGCAAAGGCATCACTCGAGTAGGGTTTGGCTTAGTTTTTGTATGTATTTTAACACCCAAGTGTTTTGAACTGGAGGGGAAAAAAAGAGTTATACATGACCTGAAATTGAAAAACTGCAACTTTTTCATAAATAAAAAGTGTAATCATGCTTTCCTTATCTTTCTCTCTTTTTTTAACAGAGTCAGAAACATCTTTGCTGTTGCATAGTATGGTCCTGCTATCTGCCAACTATCCTAAACCATTTTACCTCTGACTGAAGATGATTGCAGTCTTCTCTTCCATTTCTACATTGCAGCCATCTTTAATGACAGACAGCAAGAAGCGTTGGAGGAGGGGTGATGAATTTATTTTTAAAGGGTTGAGTGTCATTCACACACCTTCATGCAAGTCTCACATCAGGCTTGGTTAAAGCTAAGGCCCCTTATGTTGTTTGCACTCTGGACGTGTTCGTATAAATGGCCACACTTTATTTTTTGCACGGGTACAGAGTACATGGGAATCATAAAGACAATAAAATGTGAAAAATGTCGACCTACCTTTCTCTTATAAAAGGCATTCCTTTTAAAACACAGTAGTGAGGAAAATGCATTTCCTCCATTTGCCTTGCTTAACACACGAATGTGTAGTTTTACTGTCCATAGCTGAACTGTGTCGCTAACGGGTATTTTTCCTTTGTGATGCATGACTTTCAGTTGCGGCCAGAGCATGCTTCTGCAAAAAAAGGAAGCATTCTATAATTGTTTCTAAAACAGTTCCCCAAGACCATCTTGTTTTTTGATATTTACTTTTGACCTATGCATGGATCATCCTGATAATTCAGTGTTTGAATTATAAATATTAATTTATACTGAATTCTTTAAATTGAAGATGGGTGTCTAGATTTTTGTATACAGAATTGGGACACAGAAATTATGTATTATAGTTCAAGAGAAATTATGTTTACGGTCTAACTTTTGGCTTTTAAGCAGTCTATTTCTGTTGTGCCCTGAATTGTATTTGTCGCTTTTAGTACAAGTAATTTATTTCATTATTCATTCCACTTCGCTTGAAATTTTATTTGTGCTTATCACCATATTGAAATACCAAACAAAATACAGTCCTTGGAGTGGGAGCAATGGGGTTTAATGATCACCAGTTCTACCAGTGATCTGTTCTTGGTGCTTTTTATTTATTTGGCTTATAGTCTTTGTGCTACATAATGTGGAGTTTTTTGTTTTTCTTTTTTTACATATTCAGGCAGTCATTTTCAACAATACTGCTTTAATATTTACAGCATAAAATTTGACAGGTGTAATGTAAATATAGTTGGTGTCTTCATGTCTGGACTGAGTTCACTTTCAAGTTTACTCTGAGTATTTGTGCCACAGAAATTAAATTGAATAGAATATTCAATAGAAGACTTTATTTTTGAGTGAGAAAAATGAAGGCAATGCTAATATCACCCAAGTAATTGGAAATATCTGCCTTTCAGATATATTTAGGCTTAAATTACAGAAGGAAATAAATTTCAATGGTAAATATTTTGTCCCAGTTATATAATGCAGCATAATGTGATGAGCAAAAGAGAAATAAAACCAGGTAAAATAAAATGCTTTTTGTCTTCAGCCAAACTCAGTGAGTATTTTGTGCAATTTACACAATTTGCTGGATTAGCAAAGGACAGCGTGGATCATGCCTAAAATCCCATTTTGTTGTGTACAGCTTGACATCTTGACCAGACAGGAAAGACTACATGTTCAAGATCACCTTAGACTGCAGGAATCATGGTGTTTTATCAAAACATGTAAATACTTCTAAGAGGGACACGGAACAGAAGCAGTTTGATAGGGCTGTGATATGCATGAAATGGGAAAGCTTGCAATTGTGTCGGATTTGCCTGATTCTAATTAGACTTGATCAGTGACATGCAAACAGCAGAAGCGACTGCACTAGCTGGCTATGATGTCATATGCCGCAACGAGTCAGAAAGCAAAGTGAACATTGCATTTTGCAGTATTCCATGACAGTACCATACTTGACTTCACCCTGTTCCCATTCCCTCACAAACATTTGTAAACCTGAGTGCATGTCTGGGTGCTTGATATTATACACCTGAGGCAATGGGTCTGAATGAAACACCTGAATTCAATGATTAAGAGGTGTGTCCCAATATTTTTGTCCATATAGCATGTATAAATACATTTCACATATATATGTACACATACATATATACATATACATACATACATACACATACATACATACATATATATATATATACACACACACACACACACACACAAACAGCACACATGGACATGGAATAGATCCAGGTTTTTAATGAAATTGGGAAACAACATTTTATAAAGGGATATTCTGAGTTTAAGGAGGACTAGAAATTAATGAATGGCACTTTTCTCTTCATAGATTGTGAGAAGTCCTACTATAACATGAAATACACTGAACATTAGTATAAAGACATCTTAAAATGATTAAAGTGCCCCCACTTTCATTTAATTTCTAAACAGCATTATAAGAAAAATATATTTTCCCAGCCAACACACAGATAAAGTTTAAGAAACATAGAAAAAGAACAGTAAATACAGTAAAGAACTTGCTGTACTTTTTAAAAAAAATTACGACAGGTACTATTTAAAAAACTGCCTTTTGCATAATCAGTATAGGGGGTGGTCACATGACTTCATATCCACTGCGGATGCCCTTCATCAACATGCAGGCGAACACAATGCCCATGATCTGAAACAGAGAAGTCAATGGTGTCGGCTGACCTGACAGACCAGCAGTTCCTTCGTTCTAGACTGTACATGTGGGTTACTCACCTGAATTACAGCGATGACAAGGGCTCCCACAATCACCCATTTCATGTTGGTCTCCAGCAGGGTCTCCAACGTAGGCTGGCAGCCCTGTGTTAGAAGAGCAGCAGAGTTGCCTCTGGTTTGTCTTCACACTCGATGACCCCCCCCCCCCACCACCACCACCACCTTTACTTTCAACTGAAAGCATGAAGACTCACCTCCTGGTACACTTTGTTGCCATCAAGCATGTTCCCCTTCCCACAGCCTGTGGTCTGGTTTTTACAGCAGGAATCTGGCACGGACTTACCATCTTGCTGGTACATTTTCCAGTCAGACGAGGAATTTAGGCCACAGCACTTCAGCTAAAAGATAAGCAAAAGGGCCAGCTGGAGTTCAGAGGAGGTTGGCACACAGCAGATAAGCAGAACACGGAAACTGTCCTCAAGAAGTCACATGGATGTGTAACTTACAACAAGGCCACAGGATATACACATGAGATATGTAATACGTGGAAGGGTTACACACGGAGAAGTCAACCAGGAACTCCCTTTGTACATTGTCATGACCTTTAAAATACAAACGTATGCTTCATACAACTCACATTTTTCTGCAGAGAATTCATAGTCTCTTGGATTTCTTTGCTGCTGTTGTATTTGCTGATCAGGTCTTTAAGCTGATCATTAACTATCCCATTCAGCTGGATGTGGCGGGAAAGAAATATGTAATTAAATCCATATTCTCATTAGGGAACAGGGAAGGTTGGGGGTTAACAACAACTGTGGAGGCAAAGACAGCCGACTCACTTTGCCCCTAAAGACATATCCTGCGATGGCAATTCCAATCTCAGCGAGGACGATGATGGAGAGAAACACGGCAAACTTTGAAAAAGAAAAAAAAATAAATCCATTCAATTACTTGTAAACATATTTTGAAATCAGGAAAAGGCCACAAAAAAAAATCAAAGACCATCTTAAAACAAAGCAAACCAAAACTTAGAAATTAATTCCTTTCAGCACTGTCTCTAAGCAAACCTTTCAGTTTTAGAGAGAAGGATATAAGTCTATACATATTTTGCCACTGAATTTCATTTAGAAAATGTTCCGATTATCTAGTTCCTTCAAGAACGTAGAAATGTTTGCAAGGCAGTGAGCAGAGGTGCGTCATTACCATGGTGACCATGCAGTGGTTCTCCTTCCAGGCCCCACAGCAGCCGAAAAATGAGACGAAGAAGATGACGAATCCCACCACAATAAGGACGATGGGTGCAGCCGAGCCAGATGCATTTTTCATCACAATTGTGTTGTTTATAGTCAGCTGCACCAGGATACCCACTACGATTACAGCCAGACCACAGAGCTGGAGGGAGAAATTGAGTTGCACGTCAGACGTAGAGGTTAATTATTTAATCGCATGTATTGTACAGCTGTCTCTCACACTTATGCACTGTTTATTTTTTTTTAATATTCCGGAGTATATTCTGTAGTATTTCCTTGAAAGAAACAAATCTAATCAGGTGAACAAAATGTCAGTAAAGACATGGAATAACTTCAGCGCAACATGCAGAATGGTCTCTCTCCTCCCTAGAGTAGGAGTATCTGAAATTACCCGGAATAGTCGATTAAATTACACAGTTGCAAAAAGTTTAAACTTAAGATCCTCATCATTCAATATCCAGAGCTGTAAACATTTAATCTGCCTTTCCACAGCAAGCTCTAATGAGCTGTGTAAATTTAAAGTCAGTCTCACAGGACCTCAGTAGCTGAATAGTCTATGAGAGTTACATCCTTCCTCCTTAGAGCCAATTTATACTCGACGCTCAGCGTGTTCACATCATGGCCACCACACGTTTCCTTTGTTGATTCCACACCAATGTGAAGAAGTAATACGATGCATGCACCAGTTGCAGCAGCACCAAAATTTGAATGGCAGTATGGTCACCTTTTGTCGCGGGACTGTGTGCTTATATACGGTACAGTTAGTATTAAAGTACCATCTGATTTTAAAAAAATTAATGGGTGGAAGAACTGTATATTTTCAGAGGCAAGAGAGAAAATATTCTGAGCACTATCGAGTCCCTCTGTGCACAGCATCTTCAAATGGCAGTTTAAGTTTCAAAGGGTGTTTTTCCATCACACCAAGTAAAGTACTTTTGGTATGGTACTTTTGGTGCTTTCACTTTTCCATTGACCTCTGATCCAGTACCAGTACCAAAAGTTCCAGTACCAAAAGTGCCAAAACAGCTGGGGTACTTCTTTGGTACTTCGGTACTTTGGGGTGGGACTTGGAACACTTTCTTTGTCGACTGGTTATGCGAATACCCTGCCTCTGAAACAATACAAATGCCTCCCTGAAAACAGTTGCGAACTCAGAAAATGAGAAACAAAGTTAAAATGCGATTTGGTCATAAGAACATACACAACAAAAAGATCTGGATGGCATGACAAGTATTTTGTTGAATATACTAATATAGCAAATATATGCATGCTGTCCCAGTGATGTGATTTTGTTAGAATATTGATATTTTGTTGTAATAAATATTGGGATATTTATAAAACAAAAAAGGAGTATATTTCTCACAAACCCATCTTTGAGTGATTTAAATGGCAAGGATGAAAATGATTACGATTGTCTTGGAGAATGCATGCAAAGTATGCAAAGTTTTTTTTTTCCCTATGAGAGAGTAAAAATATTTTAGCTAGACTTCAACTCCCTGTGCTATAATGTCCGTATAGAACTGAAAGTATGAAAAAGCCTTCTTTTAATATAGCTGACTAGCAATGAAAGAATTGTATGTGCATAACAAGTGATGTTGGTATTATATTGCACACCGTATAATATACTACAGCCATTTTTTCGAATTCAGTATAATACACCCCACCTTGCGTCATTCGGCACCGGTACAAATTTTTTATGCTAGTGGAAAACCAATGCTGGTGCGATGGAAAAATGCCCTAAGAAACTAGTGTTGTGTACAAAGTATAATGAAATCCTAACTTGAAATTCTCACAAGACTACTTTCTTAAAAAATGTCAATTTTCAATACAGTTCTGATATTTATAAAACTTGGTCATAAAATTGACAGAGTGGGGTTTACATTTCGCTAGATCTTTTATGTTCTTCATGGAAAGAAAATTTAGTAAGCTGTGCAATTTTAATGGCCGCATCTTTTCAGGATTATGCATTATACATTTAACATTAGTTACTACTTTTGCAACGGCTCTGCATGTGCTGAGAGCCAATCCTAATAATTTTCATCCTTGTTGTAAAAAATCACTCATAAATAGATGTGTTTGTGAGAAATTGATTTTGAACTATTTCTTTCTTTATAAATGCTGAAAAAAACTTAAAGAAATGGATTTTCCCTCAATATCGTGCAGCCAAATCACGAAATCCTAACTACCACGAGATATCTAACAATATATAATGCAACATTCAACACGGGTAGTAAAGCGATATGTGGCAGAACGAAGTACCAATATGATGTGGAGCAGTGGGCAGAATGCAGCAGAATTACAAAATTAGCAAGTCGATTATTGTGGGGGCAGCGAGTGTCACAACCTCATGCGAACAAGTGAGACCGGAAACAAAGTAAACGACCAAGGTGGTTTTCCCACACTGCCCCCAGGTGGACATGACCTTTAATCCTTCAGATAGATGTAAACTGTGCTGAAGTACAGCCAGTACACTACTTGCGTAGCATACGCATCGCTTCAAGTATATCTCAGCCCTTAGTCTAACATAGTGGCCCTGAATTCACAAGGCTAGCTGGTGTTCTATCAGGGAGATGAGTTATACAGCTTGATTCTTCT